TGTTAAACTAATAAGGTCCATTCAGCTTGAAAAAAATTTCAGTGCTGTGCAGTTTTCAGTTACCGAACTCACTGAGTCTATGGATACAACATTCATATATTCCGCTTTGGTAGGTTATTTACCCTCTTGTTACCAATTTTGATATGTGTTAAAAGTAAATGATTCACTCTCACTGATTTCCACTGTCAGACCTAAGCGACACCTAGTTCTGACTTAATGAAACCAAGGATGTAAAAGTGAAAATGGTTTGAGAGAATGACAGCCTCTTAAAGGGCAGGTGAAGGTTCAGTGACCTCTGGGCACTCTGGTCCATTCCGGTGAATCACTGCTTTGGGGAAGCATAGACCCTGTGGCTCATAAAACCTGATGATATTAAGAAGGAAGGAAGGAATTCACACTTACAATTCAAGGTGACTGTTAGAAATACAACTTTAAAAATTTAAGAGTAAGGAAAAATACCATATTTAAAAATGAATTACCAATGTTTTTTTCTTTAGAAAGTATTGGGAAAACCCATATCATACAGATGTTCATTACTTATTCAATGTACACCATTGAGAGATAAATAAAACTGTTCAAATACAAAAATGCCAAAGGTAATTCAACTACTGCAGTGTAAGTGTGGCATAACCAATTCGTCATGACATACAATTTTCTAAAAGCTATTCTGTTAGAAGGCAATGAATGAGTGCATAAATGATTTAGACTCTTCTGAACTATGGTTATTATTCAGTATTTTATTTTTAAAAATATATACACCCTATACTATTATGTTTATTCCTTAGAGTCTAATAAAAACATAATTGAATTTGATGAAAAATAGACTTGATTCTAAATGTAGCATACAGTACATACAGCTACTCCCTTATTTTATTCGTTGTAAAGATCAATGGTCACTTGAGGTGGTTCTGCTCAAGGTTTGTTTTAATATATGGACAATAAAATATTTTTAATTTAAAAATTATATCCTTATATTCCATGTCATATTTTCTTTTTAATACTAACATCTAAGTTTGACCTACATAACAATTTATGAATGCAAATACAGTATTTTAATCACTATTCTACTTCTAAATATTATTTCTTATTGACTAGAAAGAACAGGAAATTAACTACAGATGGCTTAGCAAATAAAAATGAAGCAGTCTACAACAAAATCATCAGAGTTCAGTAGCTTATTTTGTTCTGATGGAATCTAAATGCTATTATGAATGAAGAAGGTTATCTTTTTAAAATATTAAATATTTGTTTTAATATAACCATCTCTGGATTGTACATAAATGACTTGTTAATCTATTTTTATTTAAATTTCCTTTGAGTTTGAAACTCTGTTATATAATATATAAATAAATTACCTAAGTATATAATTACACTAAAGTTCAATATAGCTATTTTATATTTATATATACTATAAATTATAATGTACACTATAGTATGTTCAAGTCATACGTATGCTATATTTACAAAGTCTGTTCATAAAACATGATATAAAATATAAGGATATAATTTCTAAATTAAGAATATACATATAGAATAAGGGCAAATACAAATTAAAAATAAGAGACTTAATTCTCCATTTTAAATAAGGGAAAAGATTTCCCTCCATTCCTTATTTTTTAAAGCATTTACCTGAGAAACTTGTAATTATAAGCACTTTTTCATCTCTTTGACATGTATCCCTGGGAAGACTAGATAGGTCTTTGTCAACTTTCCTAGCCAGTACTGTCTTTCTCAAGAAACTGGAACTCATCTTTTTCCGCTGAGCCAAACCGGCCAGGGCTAGGGTTAGGGTGGGACTCATCTTTTTCAAATGCAAATACCAAGGGTGACAGCTCCTGTATCTCCCAGTTTCTGTGGAAGTGTAGGAGCCCAACTTCAGTGGGTGTGTTATTTCTACAAAAACTCTTGCCCTAAAAATATGAGAAATTTGTTTCTCCTCAGGATATAGCCAAATACCTAACACAGGTGTTTTTTAACCATGATAAAGTTAGCATAAACTATGTGTGAAAAATGTGCTGTCAAATCCTGTGTTTGAGTGTTAGCATAGGTAGCTAGCTAGTTATTAATAAAGGGAGCAAATGTAATCAAACATTTGTAAAACATTTGTAAAAAACTAGGGAGCTGAACTGGACTTTAAGCCTGAATCACTAGGCAGCTATAGCACTCACAGGCTCTCCAGGGGACAGGCACATCCTCCATGGAGGGGACTTAATCCCTGAAGCTGGCAGGAAGAATCTGCTTTCCAATCTCCCCTGGGGATAATGGGCCATTAGCCAGGATTAACGGAGAGAGGAAAAGGGGAAGTTCCTTTGTAGTAGAAGCCAAGATGGAGCAGAGGAAGGTAAGTGCATGCACAACTGACACTAGATGACAAGGCAAAACTCTGAGGCATGTACAGTAGGAACCAAAATTGCAACATAAAGGGGCGGAGTCTAGTCTGGGAAAAGGACTGGATAAGGGACACGAGACCCTAAGGATGCAGAAAAGGGATTGGATAGGGGGCAGGCCCAGCACAAACCCACAAAGAACCAGGAAAGAGAGCGGTTAGTTTGAAAGAAAACCTGCTCTTTCCCAAGTCTGAGATGATATAATCAAAGCTAAATAAAGGCCCCTGTAGGTAGCACACATTCTTCCCTCAATTTATTCTCAGGTTCACCTACAGGGCCAAGCATGGGTCCAAGTGCTGGTCTGGGTGCAGCAGCAAACAGAGACGAAGCAAATGGGTTGTACCTACTAGGCTATATAATGGGGTAAGATTCCTTTATGTCTTTTCAATCAATTAGCAAAGTACCTGTGATAAGCACTGCATTCTGGTTTAATGCTTATTGAGTGATAAAAATTTTTTCTTTCCCTTCTGCCTTTGTGTAGAGGATTTCTGCGATGGGAGAACATTTTTTTTTAATTATAATACCCCAACAATATGCTATCTTTTGAATCAGTTATCTATGCCTGTTATTATAATGATAAAAAAAATTAACTGCATTCTCATATAAAACTTGAGGAAAAAATGATAGGAATATTTCATTTGTTTGGTTCGGTTCTTTGACAATTCAATATACCAGAAAGGAAATACTATGTTATCATTATACAACAGAAATTTTTACTGTGGCTTGCATATTTGTAGCCCATTGGGTGAATCATTAGAACCTTTGACCAAAAGAATTCAAATAAGTAAAGTGACTCAAGAGCCCAGAAATACATATGAAGACAAAGTTTATTCTATCAAAGAATGTGTGTTAGTAGGAAAATACTTAGCTGTCCAAGCTTCCTTTAGTGTTTGGTGACACTTTTGGAGTAGGTAATTAAGACTAATATGATATAATTCTCTATGGAGTCCCTACACTTCCAAATAAGTGAGGAGGAGACTTAAAATGACAAACATTACATACAAATAATTTAATTTTTTTTTTTTTTATCCTCACCTGAGGACATTTTTCCATTTTTTTGTTCAGGTAGAGTGGGAGGGAGAGAGAGGAAGAGAGAGAGAGAGAGAAACATCGACGTGAAAGGGACACATCGAGTGGCCACCACCCGCACGACCAACCAGGGCCGGGGACAAACTGCAACCGAGGTACATGCCCTTAGTGGGAACCGAACTCGGGCCTCTTGGGACCGCAGGCTGATGCTCTAACCGCTGAGCCAAACCGGCCAGGGCCAAATAATTTAATTTTAATGTTCTGTTTATATAATAATATAAATCCATGGCTTTGCATTATTTTATTTTCAATATTTTAATTTCAAATTTTTGTGCTTAGCCATCAAATGAGAATGTTTAACTCTAAACATATTAATGAAAATCCAGGCCAACAATACTGGCAAATTTAAGAAATCATTAATAGCCCGGCCGGTGTGGCTCACTGGTTGAGCATCAACCCATGCATCAAGAGGTTGCCGGTTCCATTCCCGGTCAGGGCACAAGCCCAGGTTGTGGACCCAATCCCCAGCGTAGGGGCATGCAGGAGGCGACCAGTCAATGTTCTCATTGATGTTTCTATCTCTCTCTCCCTCTCCCTCTCCCTCTCTCTCTAAACCTCTCTCAATAAAGAAAAAAAAGGAAATCATTAATAGCAATTCAATAAACTTTAATTTCACTATTTGAAGGTCTAGTTGTTGTAATTGGCTAGGTAATGTTAATAATAGGAAGAGGCCAGGCATTATAAGCATGATCATCTGGGAAGCTTCACCAGGAAGCTAAAGCTTCATGCTCCCCAGAAAACCACTGGTCAATTCTCTGCAAATTACTGGGGAAAGGGAGAGAACAAAAGGGGAGATGGAAGATGCATTGAAGTTGGGGCGAGGTAAGGAAGGTGCTTGTGTCAGTCTAACCTGGGGAAAAAATCATTGGCTAAAAGGGTGGAGCCACTGCAGGTGAGAAAAATCTTGGAAGGGTGAACTCCCCAAAGAGTTCTCTTCTCTTTGTGCTCTCTCTTGTTCTGGGACCCGCATTCACCTAGGCTTTCCTGCACTTGCCTCCATAGCCGTGTGGCCTTAAGCAGCCACATGGCCATGGCCATGTGGACTCCACATGCAGGACTCCACTAGACTGGACTTTATTGTGGAGCAGAAATTCTGGGCAGTGGCCTTAATCTTGGCCTTGCTGAAGACAAGATTGGACTTCTTTCATGTTGAGATGGACAGAGATGATACTTTGGAGGGGAACCCCCTAAATTTTCCATTATCAATAAAGCTTTCCACAAAACCCCCTCCCCTCCTGTAGGAGCTTTAGAAAATTATTTTCCTTGGGACAGCCCATGAACTCAATTTCCACCAATAACAAAGGCAATGCCTATATATTTTTTTAGTTTTATTTAAGGTATTCATCAGAGAAGGTAAATCACATTAAATTTTAGGGGGAAAGGTCTCATCAATTTTTTTTCCAGCAAAGTTATCACAATGAAAACCAAAAATTATCTAACAGGAAACAATAAAACATAGACTAGATAAAATCTGTTTAAATTAAACAGGAAACCTACCTGTTTTAAATAATTAGCAATATTTACCTTGCAGCATTCTGTTCTATCTTTTCATCAATGTCACTGAAGATCTGCTTTAACTCCAAGTCTCCAGGAAATGAATTTAACAAACTAAGCAGGTCAAAAGAATTATGGAAATATTCATCTTCCCAATCCATTCTGAGGAACAAGAATAAAAATCATGTTAATTACCCCAAAATAAAGAAAAAAAAACAACACCTAAATCAAGTTGTAATACTAAATCAAAACCAATAATCCCAATTTTTAGGCAAAATGAAATATAGCAGTTGAAGAACTAGGGTATTATTAAGCTAGGTAGGGTGTATTGTTATTTAAATTTCATGAGGTGTGAACTAATTTTCACACTTTTCTCTAGTTTGGAAGCTGAGCAAAATAGCACCCCTCAGAGAGTATTTATAAACATCCTGCTGTTTCTTACTGTAACCAAGCACTGAAAAGGAAACCACAAAGCCTCATAGACCACTGTGAACAAAGGTGGTTGCACCTTCCTTCCACTCTTACCGACAAACTGACCTGGAAATGGTAACCTCAGAATTGTTAAAGTCTCATCCCCTGGCCCCGCTATTTATATATGAATAAGGCAAAAAATTCTCCTCTCTGATAACTGACTAAAACTTAAATATGCTACTCCTTATGATACCATTGCAGTAATCTGGTTATTATTTAACAGAAAAAGAATAAAGGGAAGACCAATTAATATGGGCATGCCATTTATACAGCTTTGCCAGAAAGCTATAGTTGAACACCCCAGGTCTATTCCCCACTGATGGATGGGGAAAAGGACTTGACAAAAGCAGTTTAGACACATGCCAAGTAAGGTCTGAGTAACACGGGAAGTTCACACCTACCCTTCACACCTGGGAGCCAGTAAGTGGACAGAATAGGCATAGCCACTAAAAGCTAGCTAAACCTGAATATTTAATATTTAAACAAAGGAAAGCCTTCTCTCTCTCTCCACTCTAGTCATCTAGCCAGACTCCCAGCTTGTGAGGCTCTAGAGCCCTGCATTCACCACATGGCCTGCAGCCATGTGGGACCCCTACAAAGGACTAAAAAACTGAATCTAGCCTGATGCCTGAACTGGACCCAGCTGTACAATGGAAAAGACACTCTGGACTCTGGCCTTATTTCTAGCCGTGCTGAATCCCCAACTGCCTCTCTTCCAGGACTAGACTGGGGGACATGGGACTTTACAAACCCAGAAATGTAATTCCATACCTATAGAAACCATTCAGTCTCCTGTGGGACTACTGAATATGCTTATTCCGACTGCACCCCAAGAACCTCCTGCCTGTGAGTCTCGGAGGGATCTTGTACCCTCATTCCTCTGGTAACACTTATGTAGGTTCATCCAGTATCAAAGCTTTAGTCATCCATTCATTCTATATATGTCTATTTAATATTTGATAAGTAAGAAGCATTGCTGTAGAAGCTGGGGATATAGCTGAAACAAGGTACAATCTCTGCCTTTATGGAGATTTTATTCTTGTGGGGAAGGCACATTTTATTTATTTAGTTTTTAAATGTTTTTATTGATTTTTTAGAGAGAGATAGAAACATTGATGGGAGAAACATCGATCAGTTGACTCCTGCACACCCCCTCCTGGGAATCAAGCCCACAACCCAGGCATATGTCCTGATCAGGAATCGAACCAGGAACTCTCAGTCCATGGGAGATGCTCAATCTACTGAGCCACACCAGCTGGGCAAGGGAAGGTGCACTTAAAAACACATAAATAGATATATTTTATAAAAGACCACATGGTGAGAAGTACTATGTGAACATGCTGATCAGGGCAATAAGATGGACTAAGAATGAGAGTTGGTACAGAGTGTGAACTACATTATTTAGGAATATGCTATTTTTGGATATAAAATAGTGCTTATAAAATATTTTGATGATTGATGGTATGAATGAATGAATGAGAAATTTAAAACATTAAATTATAGCAAATATACATGAAATAAATAGTAACTAAAAAGGGTTTAGGTAAATGTGGTTTGAGTTTGCAGAAATCCAAAATACTTGTAAAATTGTCTAAAAAGGTTTGCAGAGACAATAATACTAATGAAATTCCTCATCTTTAATTACTTAATTATTAATAAATTCAGCTTATTTATTAAACTATAATAAAAGAGCTGAAGATTTATCTTAAGTCCTACCTAAAAATTCAAAGAATTAGGGGTAGTAAAATGGCTCCATCAAAAATCTACTAGATTTAATAAATGAATTTGGCAAAGTAGCAGGATACAAAATTAACATCAAGCAATCGACGGCATTCTTTTTTTTTTTATCCTCACCCGAGGACATTTTTCCATTTTTTGTTCAGGTAGAGTGGGAGGGAGAGAGAGGAACAGAGAGAGAGAGAGAGAAACATCGATGTGAAAGGAACACATCGAGTGGCTGCCACCTGCACAACCGACCAGGGCCGGGGACAAACTGCAACCGAAGTACGTGCCCTTAGCGGGAACCGAACCCAGGTCTCTCAGGACCGCAGGCCGATGCTCTAACCGCTGAACCAAACCGGCCAGGGCAATCGACAGCATTCTTAAACACCAATGATGAACTCACAGAAAGAGAAACTAAAAAAAACAATCCCATGTACCATTGCAGCAAAAAAATTAAGATACCTAGGAATAAACTTAACCAAAAAATAAAAAATAAAGGACCTACTCGCAGAAAACTACAGGACATTGAAAAAAGAAATAGAGGAAGATATAAAAAAGTGGAAGCACATACCTTGTTCATGGATTGGAAGAATTAACATCATTAAAATGTCCATACTATCCAAAGCAGTCTATAGATTCATTGCAATCCCCATCAAAATACCAACGACATACTTCAAAGAACTAGAACAAATACTTCAGAAGTTCCTATGGAACCAAAAACGACCCTGAATAGCCACAACAATCTTGAAAAAAAAGAACAAAGTTGGAGGGATCACATTACCAGATTTCAGGTTATACTACAAAGCCACTGTAATCAAAACAGACTAGTACTGGCACAAGAACAGGCATATCAATGGAACAGAATAGAGAACCCAGAAATGGACGCAACACAATATGCTCAATTAATATTTGATAAGGGTGGCAAGAGCATACAATGGAGTAAAGACAGCCTCTTTAATAAATGGTGTTGGGAAAATTGGACAGCTACACGCAAAGCAATGAAACTAGACCATCAACTTACACCATACACAAGAATAATCTCAAAATGGATAAAAGACTTAAATGTGACTCATGAATCCATAAAAATCCTAGAAGAAAACATAGGCAACAAAATTTCAGACATCATACGCAGCAGAATTTTCACTGATACATCACCTAAGGCAACAGAAACAAAGGAGAAAATGAACACATGGGACTACATCAAACTCAAAAGCTTTTGCACAGCAAAAGATACAATCATCAAAATGAAAAGGCAACCCATTGTATGAGAGAACATAATTGCCAATGATATATCAGATAAGGGGTTAATTTCCACTTGTAAGAGAGTGCTCATACAAGTCAACAAAAGGAAGACGAAGAACCCAATTAAAAAATTGGCAGAGGAACTAAATAGACACCTTTCCAAACAGGACATACAGATGGCTAAGAGACATATGAAGAAATGCTCAACATCACTAATCATCAGAGAGATGCAAATTAAAACAACTATGAGGTATCACCTCGCACCTGTCAGAATGGCTGCCATCAACAAATCATCAAACAACAAGTGTTGGCGGGGGTGTGGAGAAAAGGGAACTCTAGTACACTGCTGGTGGGAATGCAGACTGGTGTAGCCACTATGGAAAACACTATGATGTTACCTCAAAAAATTAAAAATTGAACTACCATTTGACCCAGTGATCCCACTTCTAGGAATATACCCTAAGAAGCCTGAAACACCAATCAGAAAGAGTATATGCACCCCCATGTTTGTAGCAGCACTGTTTACAATAGCTAAGATCTGGAAACAGCCCAAATGTCCATCAGTACACAAATGGATAAAAAAGCTGTGGTATATATACACAATGGAGTACTATGCAGCTGTAAGAAAGAAAGATCTCTTATCCTTTGAGACGACATGGAGGGACCTGGAAAGTATTATCCTAAGCAAAACAAGCCAAACAGAGAAAGACAAGTATTGTATGATCTCACTTACTTGTGGAATATAATGAACATAACAGTCTGAGGAACGGGGTAATACCAGGGACATGGAAGTAGGGTACAGACTGACAACCCTCAGAAGAGGGGGTGGGGGAGAGAGATAAACCACAGAACTTATATGTATGTATGCATGACCAATGGACATGGACAACAAAGCTGGGGACAGGGTGGGAGGCAGGGGGAGAAGGGTGTCAATCGGGAAAAAAGAGAAACATCTGTAACAAAAATAAATAAATTAATTAATAAAAATAAATAAATAAAAATTCAAAGAATTACTCTTAGGATAAAGTTTTCATTTTTCTTCAGAGATACTATTTTGAAAAGAAAACACCTAATTATAGTGTTTTAATGCAAAAGTCTACGGAATCACAAGATTTGTCAATTGCAAATCCAATTAGTCATAAATACAGAATAAGAAGTATAATGGTTTAGAAAGATTTACACTAAGATGTGCCTCTGTGATATGTGGATTATTTTCAGCTAAAAGCATCCAAGCCCCTGCCATCTGAAGAGAAACTTCTGCCCTTCCTAACCCCTTCACTACCTAGAAGAATCTGAATTAGGGGTCTTGCCTACAATAAGAGATTATCAGAGATAATCTGTTTTGACCTATCTATATGGCAGGATACACTAGTAATTACTGAAGATCTGCTCTTCTTATCACCATGCAATGACCTTCCTCCCCTCTGATGCCCCAAGGTGATCCTTGCTCAGAATGTCATATACACCTCATTTTCCATTTTTGTCTTTGAACCTCTCATGTAGGCAGGGTTCCCATGCACACATATGTATTAAATTTGGTTATTTTTTCTTGTTAATCTGGCTCATGTGGCTTTAATTATAGATCAGCAGAAAGAACCTTGAGGGTAGAAGAAAGTTTCAGCCTCCCCCACAACATAGATATAACATTTTAAAATAGCCAAATACTAATACATTTGGACTTTTCTCATTCAAAGTATTTTGTAATAAATGCTGTGATTTCTCATTTA